TACATATATACATAAGGTGTAACTACATATTTACATATATACATACAGTACATACATATACATATATACATATGGGGTAACTACATATTTACTTCAGATGGTGATTGTCTGCTTTATTTGCTGAGCCACAGGTTGCAGTTCATCCTCAGAACTCTTGGGAAACCAGTTTGAAGTTCAGCCATGTTGAACTCAGCATGCTGGTATAGGTCTAGAGTTAGAACTGCAGCGGACTGTTTATTGAGTTGTTAATTGTTAACATATGTGGCCTGAAATCAAATGAGAGATTTACATGACCTCTGCTGCTGCAGGAGGAATTTGTCTCTCGAACCGATGTTTTTATTCTGGAGAAAGGGGAAAACTTACAGGAAGTCATATTTTGCTTTGAATGCATGTTAAAAATTAGGGATGGAAACTCAATATCACCACTTTGGAGACTCTGACAGCAGCCCCGTTCATGGAGAGCGGAGCATCCCCACACAGACCGGTAAACCTTCCACTTATTTTAACTCGGGCATTTCAAAATTAAACGTCTAAATGTTTGTCATTGTTTTCAGGATTAAAAAGAGTAGTGGTTTACATCCTGTACAGCATCCTGGTGTTGCTGATGTTGATTCTGCTGCTGGTAACAGGAATAAAATGTACGTCTTTAAAACATTATAACAAAGTGGCTCATGGATATACAGTATTATCACGTGGTACTGGTTTAAACGAGCACCATTTGATAATCCACAGTCTCTCAAATGAACAAGGAAATAAATGATGTCAAGCTACACCTTAAGAGTATGGACAATGAAGGGTCAACTTCTAACTCAGGTAAAACAAATTTATATCAGCGCCGATTATAAGAGCCGAGTCAACTTTATGCTTTTTATATGAGCTCTGTGGTTATCTGTAGCTTCCAAAGCAGAAGGTTTGACGACAATAAAAGATGTCTTTCTGGAGGGACTTGTTCCAGTTAGAGGTAAAAGATTAAAACGTCTATAAAATGTGTATTTGATTGTGTCGGCCTGTCTGATCTTTCTGAACCCTGATAAAACCAGGAACCTGCAGAGACGGATGGGTGAGTTTTCAGAGGAGCTGCTACCTGTTCTCCACCACGGCTGCTACGTGGAACAAGGCAGAGGAGCTGTGCCGGTCCCACAGCGGACACATGCTGGTTCTCAATGACGTGGAGGAACTGGTGAAGCGCTTTTTACTCCAACATAGCTCCATGGAGAAACAGACTAATCAGAGGTCAGCAAAGTTTAAGAAACCAGATTTTGTTTTAATTCCAGGATTACATATCAAGATTAGTGGAAATCAGACATAATTACTGGATTGGACTTGTGGAGCGACAGCATGAGGGACACTGGAGCTGGGTGGATGGAACTGACTTTAATTCAACTCCAAAGTAAGACCAATGTGGAGACTTGAAGTCAGACACAACTGGACCTAACGTTTCACTCACTTCTACTGTTTGGGTTCAGATTCTGGGATAAAGGCCAACCCGACGACTGGGACATGAGAGAGAACGGAGAGGACTGTGGGCAGCTTCATGGATCTGTGAGGCGCAAGCGCAAGCTGTGGAACGATGCAGACTGTAGCCTGGAGTACAGGTACATCTGTGAAACCAAGGCCTGAGAGACTTTCTGTGACAACGATGCCTCAGCAGAACCAACAGTGGCAAAAAATGAGTCAAATGCAAAACCTTTGGGAAATAAAGTCATCTACATCCCACTGGTCTTCATGTATTTTCTTCCTACATATGAACTCAAGAACCCTTTATAGCCTATAAGACATTTTGGTTGCTTCAGAAAACCAACCACTTACACCTGTCAGCATCATTTGTTTCTTGAATCCTTTATTTGTACAGTGATGCTTGAAAGTTTGTGAAGCCTTTAGAATTGTCTATATTTCTGCATAAATACGACCTAAAACACAATTAGACTGTCACACGTCATAAAAGTAAGGAGCACCCGATTAAACAAATAATGCAAAAAATATTATGCTTGGTCATTTATTTATTGAGAAAAATGGTCCAGTTTTACATAATTGTGAGTGGCAACAGTTTGTGAACCTTTGCCTTCAGTATCTGGTGTGAACCCCCACCCCGGTGCAGCAGTAACTGCAACTACATTCACTGCTTTGAACTGCAGAAGAATGTTTTATCTCCATGTCTTGCATCTCTGCACACTATGCAGCCATGATGCTTTCTTGTAGATCGAGTAAAAGCATGTCGTTTCTCAAACTTCTTCTGTCTTTTCACTAACTCCAAGTTGCTCTAGTTTCTCCAGAACTTCCTCTTGTGTTTTCAGGGCTGTCAAAATTATTGTTTAGTGTAAGCCCATTAACAGAAATTACCATAAAAACTAGCCAGACTCTCTTTATAACATCAGGTAGTTTGCTTTCTAGCATGTCCAGCAATCAATGTGCGAGGGGCGGGGGACACCCTGGACAGGTCTCCAGTCCATCGCAGGGACACATAGAGACAAACGAGACAAACAACCATTCACTTTCTCACCTAGGGACAATTTAGTTACCAATCAGCCTAACATAGTCATGCCTGATAGTAAAAACACTCAAGTGTCATATTTGCTGGTTTAACTTGACAATTTTGGGACCCTGTGTACATAATTTCGCTCCACCACATGTACCACATGAGGTGCGAATGACAATAAAGAAACTCTGACTCTCTGACTCTGACTCTCTGACAATTATTTATTGTTTTTGATGGTTTTTCCCCTCTTTTGCCCTCCTATGGAAAAAAAACCCCCACATCTGTAGCATGAACTCTGAATCTGAGGTTGTCTATCAGAACCACCCAGAACTGGTTTCTTTAACCTGATTGACCTGAATTCAGTTCATTTAATTTCAATTCAATTCAGTTTTATATAGTGCAAAGTCACAACAGAAGTCAACTCAGGGCACTGAACAGAAAGAATCATATATTAAAATAGTAAGTTAACTGGAACATTCATGAATAAAATAAAAAGGTAACTATTTATCCGAGAAGCAAACTGCTTTGAATCCATCACAGAACGTTCATCTTGAGCAAGCATGAATCATGTCAGATTATTTTTTGACTGTTTTCTGTGTGTTCACTGTCCTAGAACTCTTAATCAGATAGATTGATAAATGCTTATTCAATCCTTTTAAGCTTTTGATAGAAAATAACATTCATTAAGTTGTTTATTTTGATTTACCCTTTATTTATACAGGTAGTTTAATTGAGTCACGAGAACTCATTTTCCAGAGAGACCTGTTTTGGAAGAAAATGGTGGGGTTAAGGGCTTTGCTCAGGGGCCCAGAATGGGGCAAATTTAGGGTGGAGGCAGATGTGGGTGTTTCACCTTTTCCACCCACATTTTGACGTTGACAGTCCGGGGAGCTGAACCTGCAAATTTCCGATCACAGGCCCATTTTCTCTAACCTCTGCGCCACCACTCCCCAACTTAAGATTGTGCATTTGATTAAGACATGTTAATAACATGAACAATGTAGTTTATTGTTTGACAATTGTTATTAAGAAGCCACTGAAGTGTTTTAACATGTTTTCAGTTTTGTTTTTCAGAAATGAATTTCTCTAAGAGAAAAGCT